CCCCCCCCCCCCCCCACACACACACACTAACAGTACATCTTGGTTAAGTTCCCTTTTCACTGGACGGCGCCCTTTCTGCGTCCTGCCAGTCTGTGTGGCGTAACTCCAAGTTTTCGGGATCAGACCGGCGTGCTCAGACTGTGCGAAGATTTGATTTTATTTTTGAAGAAAAGTTAATTTCAAAACAAAGGCGTGCTCTTTTCATTGTTTTATGCGATTTGAGAAAGAAAGAGGCACACAAGAAAGAGGCATCATCAAAAAAGAAAATGATCATGGATCGAGGCAAATCAACTTTGCTATAAATCTATTATGTGGTAAATAATTCAAATCTCACCAATTCCTATCTTTTTAAGCGTTAAATAAATAATAAAAAAACGTTGACAAAAAGTCAGTGAAATGACTTACAACTAAAATCCAAATTAAAAAAAAAAAAAAAAAAAAAAAAAAAAAGATTTTTCTTCCGACCGTCTGACCACGACGTCGTCCCGAGTCAGTGACACCGGTAACCAAGCAGTAACCCTATCCCCATTCCCTTCCCAATGGGTCATCAAGTCCAGGCTAATGTCCTTCAAAATGACCCCGGTCACGTGACCTGTCGGTACTGGTCATGTTGTGGCAAACAAATAGAGCAGTCCTTTAGCAAAGCCTATGATCTCACTGCCGCCAAGCTTCGACTCGCCATACACTCTGTCCACAAATGAAATGGGAACCTAAAAAAATAAAAGTACAATGCACTGGTGAATATATTTTTTAAAAAATGCGCCAAGCGAGTCAAATTACTAAATAGCAAGGACAACCGTACTAATACAAATGTAATCCAGACCAAAGAAAGGGGAAATTGCTTATTATCTGTATCGTTTAGCTCGTTTTGCTTTTGTCTCATTTTTTTCACCATGCAACAAGTTAATGTTTTTCCCTGTCAAGCTGTGCACCAACCTCGCCTATGGTGTATCCCAACTGTCTGGCCCTCACTATCATCTCCATCTGGAACACATAGCCCTTAGACACACACGACTGAACCAGTTTCTCCAACACGTCTTTCCTGTATAACCTTGAGAGAAAAAAAAGAATAGAGATGTACTTTAAACAATAAACCTTTTTTTATATAACCTTGAACAAAAAAAAGCATGAAAAAATAGTGTGTGTGTGTGTGTGTGTGTGTGTGTGTGTGTGTGTGACACATACATATACATATGTAAAACTGGTAACGTTTCTCAGAACACATTTCCAATATAATCTAAAAAAATCTGTTGTTAGACACATTGTTTGAGCACATATAAACAGAACCATCTTCTTCAAAACATGTTTTCTGTACAAACCTGTACTAACTTAATCAAATACTCCTAAGCAATTTCTCAGTACAAGACCAAATAACAATGTGGCAATGAAATTATTTTTTTCAGGAAAAAGTAAATCAAAATATGAGTATTGTTTGACCTTTAAGAAATAGTAGGCGGTGAATTGCAATGGCATGATAATTCAGACAATACAAATCAAAATTAGTGATTATGTTTTAGCATCACTTTAAAAAGTGTTATGTGTAAAAAAAAGTTTAAGCCTAATAATTCTGCATTCTCTTTGCTGTATTTCATCTATGTATGAGACCATGAATGCCCTTTAACTTCTTGATATAAAAATTCTTTTCATTCAATTTCATGTTAAATTGTTTCTTTTCACCAATTCTAGGTCACATAATCTTCAGATAAAGCTGCACTTCATACTTAATCAAATAATCTTTCACATTGGAAGCATGTTAACACAAAATGTAAAACCTAATCTAATCCATCTTAAAAAGGAGTATATAATGACAAAATGGCAAAATAATTCAAAGAACTCATGCAGGAGGTAAATCAGTTAATAAATGAAGTTAATTCAATATCCCTAAAGAAAGATAGGTACATTAAGACCCACTTTTAAGGGAGTTTCATGAAGAAAAAGTTTCAATGATTTTCATACAAAAATCTATTTTACCCCCAGTGGTTTCTCAGTGCTTAGATTTTGACGATAAAAAAGGATGTTTGAGCACAAAATAACAGGGCCTGCTGACTAATGTCTTGTGAACTAGAGCAGGTTGAGTACAAGTGTACTTAAACAGAACTGAATGCAAATATATACTTATACAAAAGAGGACAGATAGAAATAGGTACTGTATCTTGTCACATATAGGTATGTGCCTTTCTGTTTCTCTTCTGGCTGCAGTATTACATGTCTTTTTTCCAAGGTTAAACAATTTTTTCCAAAATTTATTACAGACTTCTACTACTACCACTACTACTACTAATAATAATTGTAATCAATGAAATAATAACATCTTTAAACATCTGAAAATATCATATTAATGCTTTTCCCTTAAATGGTAATAAGAAATCCCATAACCTCATAACCTAGCAGAAAAACTATTTTACTATTTAGCTTTTTATTCTGGATATTAATAACACCCTTATTCTTGATGGACAAGAATATAATTCATATTACACCTGAAAAATTAAAATATCTGATTGTTATATTTTAACTCTGATAGTTCAGTCATCAAGTTTTAGAATATTTGAAAAAGAAAACCGCTTATTTTACAGGGAAAAAAACAAGGATATTTAATTACCTTTACGATACTCATATATATCATGACCTTTATGAAAATTGCATAAGCTCAGTCTTCAAGCCAAAAGCCAGTACAAATGTTAGATGTCTAAGTTGATAAAGTCATGAAACTGCATTCTTGTAATTTACCGGATAAAATTACCCATACACTTAACTACAAAGATTGTTACCTCTCTCTTTTCCTTAGTAATTTCTTGAAAAAAATGAAGAAACAAAAATGGATAATATACTTTTGCCTAGTTCATTAGTATATGTCTAACCACTGTCTAAGATCTTGATTTTTGTGTTTTTGTATGCATACATATTAAAACAACTGCTTATGTGATGCACATCCCTATAATGGGCAGTGTTAGCTAATATATAAAATTAGCAAAGATGACTGTTTTATATCCAAGAAAGTGTGATCTGTGTGTGTGTGTCATTAATTTCAAGGTTATGTATTATTTTGATACTCAATCTATCTAGTTTTATACTTTTATTTTGAAAATAGAAAGAGCTGCACACACAATTCAGCTACACGTTCGAATAATTATCGAGATGAAAAAATCCTTGGAGTCTATTTATGAGACAATAATGTAAGTTATGGGTTGTTCTGCCTGCCTAGTCTGTTCAACATGTTGTTAATTCTGACTTGTAAATCTTGATGCCTATGCTGGTCTAAATTCAGACTTGTAGACCAAGGAGAAGTAGAAGTCTATATCAAAATTGACTAGACCTATGATAAAATCTATGCATGATGGGAAATAATCTGAAACATCAGCTGAAATTTCAACCATTAACAATGGAAAATCCAACTCTTTGGATAGTGCAGCACAAAGTCTACAAGTTATTTGTCTCAGACCAGTGGCTTGCCACTCAAACAGATTTCAACTTAAGGAGGTCCTCTTATAATAACTTTAGTACTTTTTCAAAACAGTGGCTAGTTATCAAAATGTAACAGGCAATAAAATAAGTAATTCATCCTTTAATGAAAGCTTTGTTGTTATTTTGATTGAAACATCATGAATATGTCAACAAAAAGTTGTGTTTAGCAAAGAACTCTCGGTTACACTTGGACTTTTAAGATGTATATTACCCACTTACCACTTGTTTACAAACTTGATCATGTTTTTTGGGGATGCTGTGGATTGCACCCATTTCTTGCTATATTTTTAACTCATATGGTGAACAGATTTAGTCTTACAATTTTTATCAAAATTGCTACGGCAGAAATTGTGTTTCTGAAATATGAGAGAGCCTCCTTCAATTTCTATTCATTAGTATGGGCCACTTGATGTGGTACCTGGGCCTCCAGCACCGACAAGTTCTCTTAATTTTTCTCCCCAACTTAATAATACTTCTATGGTAGAATGCAGTAGTAAATGACTGACACCTTATCCCCTACAGATATTGGTCATGTGAAAAATGAATGCATTAGTTGTGCCAGAGGCTAAATAGTGTCACTCACCTCTACCACACTCAAATTCATTAAAATGAAGAGAATCTATGATTTCATATTTCCCAAGCAGGAAACAGTGACCCTCTCAAAGTTAAATTCTTTGTATGAAACAGAATGAACATTTTCACCTTCACTTACCTGAAGCTACCTGTGAGATCAGATGCACCTGGGCGTAGTAAGATCTGAGTCAGGAGATTTGCACCACGACTGAAAATGGTACAGATGTTTTAGGACATACTGATAATTTATTCTATTCAAACATAAAACCAGAGCTGAAAAAAAGAGTTCAAATGTTTTAGAACAAGGTTTCAGTTTATATTAGACTTAGTCAAACTTTCCAAGTTTCCACCATGGCTGAAAACAGTTCAGATGTTTAAGGAACTGGCATATCATACACTATACAATTTTTTTCAGAACATGGTCACAAATTAGCCCCAGAGCCGAAGATAGCATAGCTCTTTAGGAGAAGCGTGAATAGATCTGTAGGAGAACAGAAAACGATGCAACTGAAATTCACAAGACTAGTAAAAACTGGGAATCACCTGATGACTTTCCTCTTGAGATCCCAACCATACACCCCTCCATTGCCCCTGTACCTTGTTCCTGACACCACGTCGTAGTTCCCTTCTTGCTGCTTTCTGGAACAGTGACAGATACTGTGACTGTATCAGTAATATAACATAAACAATGCCAACACAGTACTGGAAAATTTCAAGAATTGAAGGCTATTAGCAGTGTGAGTGACAGAATTGCCTAAAGAAATGCTGAAACATAAAATTACTGGTGATAGCTGCTGATACTTTAATGTATAAATGTTGACAGCAAAATGACGTCTTGACATAGCACAACACAGCAAAGCGACACAAAACAGCAGAGCTTTGAGCAGACAACATTTTAGTAAGATCTCTCTCTACATATTTCACTGGCATTGAAAGCACAACTTTAAAAATAATATCACTTCACCAGTGAAAGTAGCAACATATCAATAAAAGTTATTTTCTTAAAATGAAAAGCAATAACGTCACAATGTCAGCACAACAAGACAGTTTTCAAAAAATGGAAACCCTATCTCTTTTCATTGTTTGCTTGAATTTGCTTTCCTAGTTTGTGTTTTCACCTGTTTCATATGCATTAATTATGACACACCTATAAATTAACTATGATTCTGATAAAAACAGAGACCAGAACAAACAATGAAATGTACTTACTTTATAAACTCAGGAATAAATTTTGGCTAAAAAAAATCAAATTGCAGTTATATTAGCAATTACTGGATGGAAAAAAAACACACACTATATATCTGTACATAAAACAATGAATTATGTGCTATAAGTTAGATCTACCTTTTTACCCTCAATAGTTCATGGCAGTTAGTTAATAACCTGCCAACTGTTGCAATGTAGGGACCAAGTGTTATCAAATAATATTATATAAAATAATATAATTATACAGACAGTTCAAAATTAATGTAAATGTAAATGTAATTAATGTAACACAAACAGGTATTATTATTTATATATATAATTTATAAATACACACCAAGTTTCAGAGATGACTGGGAATTCAAAATTTGAAACTAAGAGTGATTAAATCCTAATTGGATACAGTTGTAATCTTATGTTTAAAGGGATAACAACTCTTCATAAGAGATTCTAAATTCCACAATAAATACACTGTAAACAAAACATATTGATACAATAAATTCCATTTTACCACCAAAACTATTATGAAATCTGTGCTTGCCATCGGACCACATTCATGGCTTTCATAGATGGTTTCCCTCTGTAATTATCTCTATCACAAAAAACACACAAGTTTATAAACAACCAAGTGACCAACTATGAGTGTGGGAACAGATTCATTTACCATTGGTTAGTATGGGAACATCATTGTTTACTCCAGGAAATTCCGATTTAAGACATTTTTCCACAAAAATGATGAGCTGTTATCTTTTAAGTTAAGATAGTTTATTGTACCTATCAGTGACACCATTGCATCCACTTACGTGGTGTGAAAGGTCAGCATCCATTATAAAGACAAAGTTCCCAGTTGCATGCTTTATACCATGTATGTACGCTGTGCCCAGTCCAAGCTTCTTAGCACGAGGGCGCAGAACCTGGCAAAGAAATCAGTGTAAAATGAAAATTCTTTGCTATACTGTCTGGAAATGGTAGCATTATTATCATGTAATATTTTTATTTCAAAGTAAATAAAAAGTGATGTTGATTTATATATAACTAAAACTTGTGAAAGCTTAAAATGAAAGGTTTTGCATTGCCTCATTTTCCAACAATAAAATGGTGGAGTGTCTTGTATTGCAGCCATGTGCAGTGTGTAAAACAAACCTTGCAGGATAGCAGTGGATATCCAAGTATGCTGAAAAAACAACAACTACACAAGGTACATGAACACTTTAGATAATCTTTTAACTAAAGTGTTTTATTGTCTTGAGAACTCGTCGGTGAAATATAAGATGCTTTACTAACAGTACATCACTGTACATGAATATGAATGTGGGGGATTTTCAAATGCATGGAGAGAACTTCTAAAAATAGCAAAATACATTTTGGCAGAAAAATCCCCTGAAGTGACCCTTTAATGTCGAGCCCTAGACCCCATTTCCAGAGATTAAATTGATCTACTTTAGATCGACCTAACTCCCTGGGGATTCACGCTAAATAGCTGTAAGCCGGGCGGACACGAAAGTTAATTACCCCCTTACAGCTTGTAGTAGGCGGGATGGACATTTAAGCCGGATTATCTGACAGTAATCTAGTGAGACTCCCCGCGGGGATAGATAAATCTAAAAGCTCTGGGAATACAGCCTTAAACTTTTGTGTGAGTTCTTCAAGAAAATGACCCCTTATAGCAATTTCCTCGATAGTTTTTTTTTTTTTTTTTGCATTTCCCTCATTTTTTCATTAATTTCCCAAAGGGGAATGTAAAATTTGACATAGATTTCCCTGAGTTTGCAATAGATTTCCCATGTGAAACATGGAAAGAAATATTTTAATAATAGTTCCTAGTGAGCTGACAGCATATAAAATTTCTGCTGCAGGTCAAGCCCACACTGTTTCACTGCACATCATGATGTAGGACATAAATCATAATTGTTATCATGATAAACACTGAAAATCTGCATGATGGCTAGGAGCAAACACAGCACACCTGCTGCTGATTGTGCACAATGTACAGGTGGGAAGCAGAACTGAACTGAACTGAACATATAAACACACACGCATACACACACTAGTACTAGTAAATAAGACCATGGACTTGACAAACTTACTATCTTTTCTTTGCCATAGATTTTCTCTAGCTGTTTTGCCACTTCCAGGGTACCATCTGGGCTGCCATCATCTATCACTATTATCTCAAACTGGTGTCCACTGGGGCAAAAAAAACAATAATATGAAATTAGGATGAAATGAAGTTTTTTCAAAATGGCCACCTACTTCAGTCTTAACTCAGGAGCTGCAGCTAAAGTATTTTGCCATAACAGATAAAGATTTATTGAGTTTCAAAGGATAACAACAAGTTTTTTTTTTTTTGCCAAAAATTTATTTTTCTGGGGTAAACTGACGATTTTCCCATAATTCTTTCCAAAGGTAATTTAATCCATTATAATATGTTAAGTTTGGTTTTTTATTTTTAAAAAGTTTGGTTTTTAGTAATAATCTCTTTAGATCTCTTTAGAGATTATTACAAAAGCACAGCCATCTGTGAAGGTCCACCTGGTCTGATGGCAAGCATAGACGCCCCTGACCCCCCGCCCCCTCTAAATTCACCACTGTACATGTATATAGCAAGTTATTCTGATGTTTAAAGCAACACCAAGGAGCAATTTTGTGTCATTTTTAAAATGTCATTTCGGTGTTTGGTGACAATCAAATTTGTTGCCACATTTGCCTTGAACTGGTGTCACTTAACCTTTGCAACATCCATACCTAAGGAATGTTTTTTAAATATATGTATACTCATCTGTAAACAGTAATTATTTGCATGTTGCACATTTACTGCACTAAAGGCATTACTAAATATCACTGACTGTTATTATGTGCCATGTCATGGTGGTTACATCTCACGCACTGATTTTTCCTGCACCAATACTCCCCATCATTATTACTCCCCAACAGCAAAGATCAACTGATAAATTCCCTTTGATTTGGTTAAAATGTGACAGATGTCCAAAACAATTCTTGATTGAAAAACCTTTCTGTAATATATATATTTTTTTAAAGCGCGTCCTCTTGAGACCCAAAATTGACACACTCTATTTTGGAATCTGGTGGAAAAGTAAGGAAACAATTTCTAAATTTGGTCTGCTTTGTAAATTCACACATACAAATTAACATGAAGTCAATCACGTCAGACTTTTTGTGCAGCTCCACCGTACAGCTCTTTTTGTGATTTTTAAGAAATGTCACTTCGTTTTCGACGGTGGTTACGGGATACGGATAACACACTTTTTTTACTTGATTATTAATTAATTTTACTCGAAGTTTTTTTTAATCAAAGATAAAAAAGGCACCATGATAGGCTTTTCTTCAGACACCGCTCAACTAAAGTTGAAATGCCTTGGAATGAGTATTGAGTAGAGATCTGAATGGAGATTTGCATCCGGCTTAGTTTCACTACAGGATACGACTGACTAGAAGCATCATTTGTACTCACCTCTCTTCAAAATACTTCACCAGCAACCACACTATTAAAGGAAGATTATCCCTCTCGTTATAAGTCGGAAGCAGCACTGAATACTTGTTTTTACTCATGTTGTAAGGCAAAGCTCGCCAGCGCCAGCAACGACGTGGAATGTTTGAACATAGATGGCGCGAAATCAAGATGGGGAAATGTTTGCTTATTGTTATATTTTGTGGCTTTTCTTGATAAAGCGATATCTATCGTGATGTTTAAAATAGGGAATTCCCTCAAACGGTAGAATGCTTGGGAGGAATGTCCAGCGAAGAGAAAGCGGTTGTTGACAAGAGAATATGAAACGGAAAGGGGGAAGTAAGACTCAGGTGAACACAGAAGGTCGCTGTTCTAGTATATTTGAAGGAATATTTTCACGTAGGACGTACGTAAGTATTTCAACTTGTTGTTTATATACACTGTCAGGTAATAGTGTACTGTACAATGTACATGTACAGTACATCATGTACAAGACCTAAACATTGTCCATGAATCACTGTGATCGATGTTGTTGCTGTTAGTTTGTTATGTACCAGGCAGTACATGTACAGTGTATGGGCTCATTGTAGCATCCAGTGTTTTGTACTGATTTTCTTTAGGATATATTGTATCCTTCTTCAGTTTGATTATGTTGCACATTTATTATATTTAACAGGTAGTTACAAGTACCAGTAGCTAAAAAAACATACTTAAATTGCACATGTTGTAGCACTTTTGTTAATTTGAAAAATTATTTATATTTTTACTGTTATTTACTGGGGTATGTGTTTGTCTAGTTATATTTTTCTCCCCAGTTTCTTAAAGGGATAATAACTCTTCGTATGAGATCTATATTTCACAATAAAAACATTGTGAATAACTCATAAAAATATAATATACCACAAAAATGGCAGTTATAGCTATTTTTCTGATATATGAGCTGTCTTTAGACCTCCATTGATGGCTATACTCTGTTAAAATCTCTTAAGAGATTTTAACAAAAAACCAAACTTTTTAGAAAAAAACCAGAGACTAACTTTGAATGTAAAAATGGATTCATTAACCATTGGTAAGTATGGGAAAATTGTTGTTTACTCCAGGAAAATTCATTTTTTGGCCGAAATGAAGAGTTATTATCCCTTTAACAATGAGTGGATTTGCCAAATTAGGTATATTTGCTAAAAAAAAAGCCAGAGACATTTCTGTGAGTATCTGTAGAAAAAATCAATCTGTGACCCTGGTAGAGGGTATAATTTGATAATTGTGCAGCACTTGTAACTGGTGTGTTCCATCAAGATCCCTGAAAATAAACCATCTAAACACTTGTCACAATATTGAAAAAAAAAAAGATGAATAATTGCACAACAGTCATGGTTTGACATGATTTGCCTGTAGTTGTTAGTTGCGTTCCCTTTCCTGTGATACTTTACCAGTATCATTACATGCATCATTGAATTGGAAATGGGACCCCATAGTGTCAAGCATTGGTTTTGTTTGTATCACCAGTATTATTGCACTTCCAGTGCCTGTAGTACCTAAACTTGAATTTTGATTTTGAATCAGGAAGTTTCCGTTATTCAGATTTATAGATAAACTTATGATAAATTATTCTTACTCTTTGGACTGACTGATATTATGACAGTCCCTAACCTGTCTTATCTGTGTACATTATCTGGTGTCTTCTCTCAGAAGGTAGTAGGCCCTGTTGATTTCTATTGAATGAAAAAAGAGATTTATCTTCTCAGAAAGGGTACAAAAGTCAAAATGTGTCTTGATTTTAAAAGAAACTTAAATAGTAAGTTGACAGAATGTATTTAAAAAGGGAAAATTAGTAATGAGTATAGTAATGTCAAGATCTAAACTAAAAATTTCTCATGGTAAATGGCTATTAAAATAGTTGTACAGATGCACTGCATGGTGTTTGCTTTTAAGCTCAACTTAATGAAGGAGATGAACTCTGATTCTGAACATTGATGATAGATGACATTTTTCAAAGTAAGGAATCTGAGGTGTTCTGTGTACTGGGGTGTACTAGTAC